GCAATACACTGAACATCAGCAACATCGGTGTTCTCTTGAAAATAGTCCATCAACCAGAAACATTCAGATACAGTAAACTTGTGGAAGGGCTGTAGGATGACTGACACAAATTGTGCATGGAAAAACATCAGCCTCTAACTGTACACCTGTAGGTGTACCCAAAAAGTGCTGTTTTGAATCTATATATAATAATGGTGCATTCATACATTTGTATGCAAAAGTTTGGGCGCCCCTGGTCAAATTACATTTTGTTGATTTTCTAAGTGAAAATAAGTTAATGCATCCTCTACAAGAACACATTTCTGGACTGGTTTTTAACACAGTTATGGTTTACTTGCTGAATCTCACAATTAAAAAAAAATGCAGTGTAAAATGTGGCCTGTGCAAAAATCTTGGCACATTTTATATTATGTACTATTTTTTCTAACTTGTTATAGTCAGCACAAAAATAGAATTGTGCACAAATTTGCCTTTATTTTTTTACGAGCTGTAGAGGAGATGTTAACTTATTTTCACTTAGAAAATCAGCAAAGCATGGAATTTGACTGGAAGTGTTCAAACCTGTATAATTACTCTGTAATTTATGTTGACAGCTTCACCATAAGAAGTTCCCTGTACATCTTGTACTTGGCGAAACATTGTGATTCTGATTCTGAGGGGGAGCGAATGAGAGAAAGAGAGAGAGATAGCAAGATTGTAGATAAGGCAGAGTAGAACGCTCTTCTGGGTGCCCTTTTCCTCAGTGTCACCTGCCATTATCATTCCTGTAATCTTTTGTCTCAGGCCAACATCATAATCATCATCTGCCGCAAAACAAACATTGGTGATTAGAGCAGGAGAGTGTGTTTGGTGCCATGAGGTTCATGAAGACGTAGGGTGGTCTCTGTATGCTGGGGGGAGGTGGGGGAGGTGGAGGGTGAGGTCATTGTGCAGAAGATGTTGCGGGAACGATACAAATGCATAGACAAGAGCCTATAATCAAAGCTGCTTTGTTACTGACACCCAACCCCCACGATTTTTTCTGATGACTGCTATTCAGCGCCGCGTCCATCTGATTGTATGTGTGTGCTCACGGGCGTGCCCTGTGATAGATGTGCCATCTCTGATTTAGATGGCGCGACGTGATGACAGTTTTGCAGCTTGAGGCGAGGCGGAGCGCTCAGGTTCCCCTTCATTCCAACAGCAATGAAATCAGATATCAGTATCTGAGTTTAGTGTTTATTTGAGCACATCAGACACTCTCGGCTCTGGAATGAGGCCCACAGCACATCTTACACTGAACTCCTGAACTCACAGGTCTAGCTTAGCTTTCAGGGTCCCTGTCCACTCATTTTCCTGATTTTCTTTTAACTGTTTTCTTCAGTTTTTGTGATGTTTTACTATAAACTAGCAGAGAAAAAACAATGTTGGCCTTTTCTGTTGATAGATTTTTGAAATGCCATTTTCCTCTGTTTGATTTGAGCTGGGTGGGGCTACATTCCTCTCCACACGTTCCTCTCCCCCTCGTAAAATGGCTGATCTCCCCCTACTCCAAGTTCCAAAACTCCCAGCAAGTAGGTTATGTAAGCTTTTCTAGCATAGCTAGATGCTGCTTCCTGCTTGCGTTAGCCACCTGTTGCAGAATCCTACTATAAATGATTAACTGCATTCATGAGAGTGCGATAACTAGCAGTCCACCTTTTGGCTACCCCAATTACGTCAAGACTCACAGTGTCTCCCAGAAATTGTACTTTACAGACGTGACGCACAATAAGGCACATGAGAAATTTCTAATCAGTGTTCACAAATATGACTCATAGCGGAAGCCTGTGTGACCTCTGGTTTAGAAGCACGGTCCAGTAGTTAGCTAGCTAGCTAGCTAGCTATGGGTTATGAATATAACATTAGTGCTGAGTGTTCAAATATTGGGCACAATATGTCCTACCTGTCATAAAATGAACGTAAATATTTCTTGAATGTACCACTGGTAAATGCCTATTCTAGGCATATCTTTACTATTAAAAATATTTTAAACATGTAAAACCATGTTGACGGGGGCTTTAAGACCAATACGTCTTTAATAGCCTTTTTAGCCTCTAAGTTTCAGGAGTAATTAGGGGTCCAAGCACCCTTCTTGGTCAGTGTACCTTACACTCAACTCCTCAACCCAAAGCTTTAACTTGGCTTTCTGCATAATGCTGTTGAAAGGATTTTGGTGCTAAGATAATACCAATTCTTTTCTGATTCAGAGTAATTCTGTATTGTTATTGTAACCCAAATATATTACATTTTATATAATAATTTTAGTCCTAAACATCAAGCTGAGCCTTCTTCTTGAGCCTGCGCATGTGACATTAATACATAATAACATATCACATGTACCAAAAAGTCCTGTGAAATCTGACTTGATTTACATAATTACATAAGATGACTTTTACCTATTTTAGCATGTTTTTTTCTCCTGACCCAATAATGCTACAGAAACATCTGACAAAGTGCAGTTTTTCCTTCACCTGTGGATTTCCCCATTCGTAGATAGCAGGTTTAGTTACAGTAGTGACGATATGTTATATTTTTGCAATGTACTGATAAAATGTGTATGAACACTGTTAGCCATCAAGGTCATTGAACTGTAGTACTGAAAGAAGTCAATATGAGGGGTTCAGTGTGTTTATTTCAGTGGATCACTCAGATCAAACCCTCTCCATGCTGGAATGAGGTCTGCAGTGTGCTACACACTCTGCTCCTGAACACACGGCTTTAGCTGGGATTTATGGGTAGCTGTCAAGAGTTTTTTCATTTTTCCAATTCAGAATAAATCTGTATTGTGATTTTAAGCCAAGTCAGAAAACATTCTGACTTGAAAACATACAGTATTTAAAATATGCTTCAAAATACTGTTTAAGTAACTAAGGTAATATTTCACATATGGCACTACTCAACGTTAGGACACACCTGATTGTATGTTTTTCCTAATCATAAAGACAACAAAAGGCTTTTGCTTATAAGTTTCAAAGTTATTCTTAAGACAAATATAAATACTCAAATTGATGCCTAAGTATAAATGTATGTCCAAAAATTCAATTAATTCAATTCAATTCAATTCGAGTTGCAAGATGTCAAATTGTCATCCTAATTAATATGTGCTTCTCTTAATTGGAATGTCTGCACCCGGCTGCACACATATGTGTATGAGCAGACAATCTCCTTTCTTCACGTCATTTAGTCTCTGTCTTTTGATTTTTAGACTGGTAGTAAAATAATCATGTATGAGTTATTGCGATTTGTTTATGCTGAAAACTCATGTTCATGTCACCAGCAGTGAGGTACATCAGATATCTGTCAGAATTTGGGCCGTTTTCTAAAGTGTTCTGCTGCACTACGAGGCTGAGAAGCTGTGAGGATGACAGAGCAATGTGAACACACACACACACACACACAGTCCATCTCTTGCTCAAACATTAGGCAATTACCATCGTACACTGGTTTATTTAACCTGACTTCTTTTTTACTTAAGGCTTTTTCTCTTGCTTTTGCCATCAAAGCCTGAGAAAAGTGAGAGCAATGTGGAGGCTAACTGACACTTTTCCTTGTCTACATCTTAAAATGTAAAAAAAAAGAAAATTTGAATTAAAATCAAGCTTTCAACAGCTTCTAATTAATGTTTCAGAAACTACAGAAAATACACATCAAAATGTGTAGTACTTTTTTTGAAAAATGAGTCTGACTTCCCTTGTTCTGGGATGCCTGCTTTTCAGTTTGGTGCAGACATGCTATGGAGAGGAATTCGTGCCAAAATGAAAAACAAAACCTCCATCACATTGTTTTCACATCATTTGACCTCTTAGCTGAAAAACAATACATGAGGATTTGCATTTAAAAGGGAAATGCTAAATTCATGTGAGCATTGAATACAGTCAACTTTAAAATGGAATAAATGCAAGACTGTATTGCTTTCCGCCGCACAGAACTTAAAACAAAGTTGAATCAACTTAATGGATCTTTTACTTTTCATTTTCCACATGTTACTTTTTAAATGCAATCTCGTGTGAACATTGCATTTCATTGTTTTGGTGGCAATTTAATGAGGCAAATACATTTGTAGTGCAAAAAAACAGGTCAAGCAACATGAAAACACTGTAGTAGAGATTTTGAGATTGTATTCAATTCTGACATGAACTCACCATTTTCATTTTTAAAATGCAGATCCTCATGCATTGTTTTTCATGTTGGTACATATTCCTCATGTCACTATGGAACAGTAATGTCATTTGTGCATTGCATTTCACTTTTTTCCACTGTAATGATTGCTTTTCAATTTGGTATGAATTTCTCCCCATAGTGTGTCTGCACTGAACTGAGTACCTAAACATGTTCCTCTGTTTGCTATCAAATGTTCCTCTATACTACTGAATATTTTAATCTCAAGCACTACGGATGCAACCAAGTAGCTTGTTCTTGTTTGATGAATATAGCAACAATAAGGAAGGTGGGACTCATCAGAGTGTTGCATTTATCATGTGTAACAGTTATTACAATATTGAAAAAAAAATAAATAAATATATATATATATATATATATATATATATATATATATATATGTATATAAATGTTTCTGCATTTACATTCAGAGTCTCAAAGTAACCTGCATATTGCCAAAAGATGCTACTAGTAACTGAAAGAGTTCTTCACAGGGTCATTGAAATAATCTAATTCATTGCTCCTGTACAAGCTGATTTATAATCGACTGCCTTATGTCTCGATCATAATGTGATATTTCATTCAAGGACTGACATCGATTTTTCACAGAAATTACACAAATGCTTCAGTTCACCTCACAGCCAGTGTACGATAGATACTACTCCACTCATCAGATATGTGACAATGTCTGACACTTAATCACTATCTGTATGGAACTGCAATAAACTTGTTGTGCAATATGTACCCAATATAACCAATAGCTCATATTTTATTGTCATATTATAAGGATTTTTTTCTTTTTCTTCTTTTTTATCTTCCAGGAATCTTCTAGATAAAGACACATTCTCCAAATCAGACCCAAGTGAGTACTACTTTTTCCAGTGTTGTGCCATTCGCCACATGCATGTATATATATATATATATATATATATATATATATATATATATATATATATATAAATAAAACACACTATATAACACACTTTATTAGAAACACTCACTGGCCACTTTCTTGGAAACATTCATCTTCATTTCCATTAATTGGCCACTTTATTTCATTCAATGATCACTTCATAAGGTGTTTGCTACCTTATAGGTCCACTATATAGGTGTACAGTTTCGGACTGTAGTCCATAAGTTGCTGCACAATTTGTCAACCTCACTCTTCCCCATTCGTTATTGGTCAGTTTCTGACCACAGGACTGTTGACTAGATTTAATTTGGGTGATGGAGCATTCTTAAACAGCAGTGACACTGACATGGTTGTGGTGCATGCTGGGGTTTTTAAAAGTGTGGTCCACCACCAAAAACATCCAACCAAGAGCAGCTCTGTCGTCAGAATCGGACCATTAATAAGGGCTAGAACATTGTTAATTCAAAATGTTCATGGCAACAGATACAGTCTCTAATTGGACAGCTGCAAGGTGGGCTTACAAGGTAGGTAGTGGCCAGTGAGTACACTACATATACGATGTTTAAACCAGAATTCAACCAGAGTTATTTTTTGTACTTAGGTTGCATTATAAGTGATTAGAATACATGGATCTTAAAGACAATATCAGATACAAATCAGACATGTGGAACTATTATGTTGGACTACATGTCTAAATAAATTCTTTACTCTAATAACTAGAGATGGACCAATCAATGTTTTTGTGGCCAATACCAGTTGCTGATTGCCTTTCAATATGATCAGCCAGTAGCCGATACTGATTGAGGGCGGGGCTGGATGCCACATTTAAAGGTGCAAAATCGATTCTCAACAGCAAAACAAATACACCCCACCTTCACTGCTCCTTCAGAGGCCCTGCCCCTGAAATTCATGGACACGCATTGCCAAGGCAATCGACATTTTTTTAGATTTTTGTGGCCATAAAACCCTTCGCAAGCGTTGTACAGATTCCATTATAAAATGTTAGAGTGAACAATGACACAGCAAGTAATGTAACTAATATTTGCTAGGTTGTGAGTTAGCAAACTGTTGCTACACCTGTCAAGCAGAAAGAGAGAAACATCCTCATCCCCTTCATGCCTTTCAACTCTCGCTGAAGCTGAAGTCAGATTCTTTTTTGCAAGTTTCTTGTTTGAATTCTCCCATTCCACCTTAAATGGAGCAGCAGTTACATTCTGGCTAGCTTAACCATTGAAATAAGCGGATCTTATGCAACCGGCCCAGCTAGCAGAACTAAACAGTCCTGCTTCACGAAAGTTCTGCCTCTTATTTTTATTTTCAGCCCCTGCCAAAGCCATAGGCCTTGAAGATGGTGCAGTTTAAGCTAAGCTAAGATTAGCACTCAGATGCTAACGTTAACTGAAACGAAATCTCAAATCTTTGACAACAAACCATCTTAATTACAGTTCTGCATGTTCACACAGTGAGTTTACAGTGACATAGGAGCCAAATATGTAACATATTTTAGGAAAAATGTTTTTCGTTAGTGAAATAGAGGCTGAAGATGGCTTTGTATTCTCCAGCTCCTTGTTCGACCATTCCACCTTAAATGGTGCAGCAGTTACATTCTGGCATCTCAGGTGAAATATGGCTCATATGTTTTACATCACTGATCAACTCTTAGGATCGTCTAAGGTAGAGAAATATCAACTGATCACTGATCGCATATTTGGGCTGAAAATCGACTGATACCGATACATCAATCCTTCCATCTTTACTAATAACTGATCTGTACACTTAAAAGAAATTCACTTTTTATTACTGTATAATAAAAAACATAATATAAGCAGAAAACCTGCTCAAACTTGCATAAAATAGTAACCAATTGGAAGCTGCTTCAGCATCTGCCCATTGGCTTCAGTTATTTCCATTCAACAGGTTTTCTCTTCTGTCTAAGCACAAGGAAATGTGTCAAAATGATTGTTCATGGTAATCAACGCTGGAGTGTTCATTCAAATTAGTAACAACCTTTAGACTCAAACTAATTAATCAGCCCCTTTAAGTGTGAACTCTTATGCGCGTCCATGCTGGTGTTTCAGTGAATTTAATAGAGACTTAAAATCACACTTAATAATATGCAGAAATCTTTCCTACCTTTTTTTCATTCTCTAAAAAATCAATACGAGTGCTCAAATTAGGAGCACTCTTCACAAGTTGGCCGAGACGCTCTGTGCGCGCTGTTTGAAGCTAAATTGAAGCTTCCCTAAACTATGAAGAACTTTCCATCAGAGAGGCTCTTTGAAGACGGAGGAGCTGGGGGACAGAGCAGCGTGGGCCGGCTGTGAGGAACAGTCTGTCAGTGTCTTTTATTACACAGCACAGACACTTAAGAAGTGAGCAGATATAGAGAAAAGGAAAGGGTGATTGTTAATGAGAGAGTGAGAGAGAGACTGTGGGAGAATGTGTGATGTTTGAGCGAGAGAGAGACTTTTTGAACGTGTGGTATATTTCTGTGAGTACTGGGACTGAGAATCAAAAAGAGGGAGAGACTGTGAGAGGGAAAGAGAGTCTATAGCCTGTTTGTAGTGCACATAGCTACCTACAATACTCAGTCAGTGGACGAACTGTTTTTTTACTTTTTTTAGCACAGTCATTGAAATATATCTAATCATATATTGACAATAGCAGGCTCATTTGTTTATACAGAACAGTGTAAGCTCTTTTTTAGTTCTACAGATATTATATTTTGACCTTTATAAAGATCCACATAACAGCTTTAATGAAAAAGGGATGTATATATCCAGAATGTTCAGAAAGCCTATAGTTATGTTTTTCTCACAAAATCAGTCCAGCCCACTGTAAATCAGAACATGATTGGCTGATTTCACTACCACTTCCTAATATGCTAGTAGCTAATCTAACATGTAAGGCCTTCTGTTTAGCTCCTAAAGTCCTAACTAATGGGAGAGCATGTATATTCAGCAGAAATCTCTCTGAAGAGATTAATCAGATCAGGCTACATTTTTTCAGCTTTCAACTGTCCACTTTTGGTGAGCCTGTGCCCACCACAGCCTTCTGTTTTTGGCTGAAAGAAGTGGAGCCTGGCATGGTCTTCTGCTATTGTAGCCCATCCACCTCAACAATCATGCCACTGTCGAAATGACTGAGATCATTTTTTTCCGACTATGATAGTTGATGTGAACATTACCTGAAGCTTCTGGCCAGTATCTGCATAATTTTTATGCACTGTACTGCTGCCACACGATTGGCTGATTAGATAACTGCATGAGTAGCTGTACAAGTGTTCCTAATAAAGTGCTCGATGGGTAGATTTGGACAGCTCTGGTCAAATTTCATGTTTTATTGATTTTCTAAGTGAGTTAACAAATTTAACACATCCTTTACAGCAAATAGTCTTAAATATGATGCTTTTCTTAAATATGAGTGCAATTTTCTATTTATTTGCTGAATTTAACACATTGGAAAAATACAGTATAACATATTAAGTGTGCCTTTGTACCTGCCACATTTATTTGTTAAATTCTATATGTTAAATTCACAGTAATCGTGCCTTAAGATGTGCAGAAATGTCTCTGCAGAGGGTGGCATTTGACACCATCTACATGTAATTTGCATAAGGCTGCATATAACACTTAGTATGGTGTATTAAAACTTCTCGAAGAAGAAGAAGAAGAAGAAGAAGAAGAAATAGTGAGAGAGAAAGTGAGAAACTATTTGAATGTTTGGTGTGTGCATGTGCGCGTGAGACCGACAGTGAAAGCGAGAGAGAGACTATGTGTGAGAGACAACAAGAGAGCGTGAGAGAAAGAGAGAATATGAGGATGGTGAAGGTCTCTGTAGGTTTCTCTTTCTGCTGTGAGTTTTCCACTGACAGTGAGTTAGTGACAGAGAGGCATTCAGCTGCAGCTGCTTCTGTTCTTTCCCTTCACACTGCTCGTGGCTGAACTGCATTTGAAGTCAACCGTCAACACACTGCTGATGTGTCTCACAGCACTCGCGTACCAAAAACACTCAGACAGCTGTGTACAGACCATATGTTAATCCTGTTCATTTTCTCTCTCCACAGTGTGTGTCCTTTACACACAAGGAATCGAGACCAAGCAGTGGAGAGAGGTAAACACACACACTCATACACACTCCTTGCCACTACACCCCACTAATGGACTTTGCATTCTGATGCTACATCTCATGCAATGTATTAGGAACACAAATGGGCTAATAAGTGTTTTTCAATCTTAAGTATATTAACCCCATAAGGGTCAAAGTTTTATTACACTTCTGTAAACTAAGAATAGCTCAGCCAATTTGCATCAAAGTCCCTGTAGTTGTTGTGTAATAAGCCTTAGTATGTAATAAGCTTGGGATTTTAAGGGGTTGAATCAAAGTTCATCATTAACATGGTGTATGCTGTTTTTAGGGCACTTTTGCATGTCTGTAGACAGCCAATGAAGTTGTGTCTCAGATCTATTGCTAAATAAAAGCTGAATTTACATCAAACCTTTGCTGTGCACAGATATTCAGTACTGTGTCAGAGACCACCCTTTTATTTACTTCCTCTCCAGTCAAAACAGCGTTTAAGTAGAAGCTATTCATTTTTCAGCATAAAACTAAATACGACATCAGGTTTTTGAGTATTTAGTGTTTCTACTTTACTTTTATACTTTCATTCTGTTTGGGAGACTTGCTTTCAATTTTTCAAAGAAATGTTTAAGGCCCATGAAATCATCTAATATTCCTCCAATTTAGGATGAGAAATTAAGATGATTTCAAGGGCCTTGAAGATTAATTCATTAAATAATAATTAAAGACCAGTTTTAGACTACAGGTCTACCATACAGAAATCTGAAATATGGCCTTAAATGCAAATATATCATAAAAGATCAGGCATATTTTAAAGTATATGTACAAATATGTAAGAAAGAAATATTGGACATACATAATATATGGATCATATATATGTCTGATAGTGGGGTAAATATATAGATATGCATATAATAGGGATCATACAGATATGTCTAATACAAGGTTGAATACACCCCATTACAGTCATAATTGTTACTATGTTATGTTTTTTTTATATTAAATTATTAAAATGTTTGAGGGGAACAATATTCCCATTTGTTCATGTTTTAATTATTTTATTGTATAGCTTACAATGTGCATGTTTTAGAGTTTTGTTATATAGCTATTATACTAATTTTGATTTCATTAGGGGGAAACAAAGCAAAGAAGATGCATAAAAACCTTATATAACATGAAGCTAGAATATGAGTAATACATGCCATCCATATATGAATAATGTTTTCTATCATATATAGTTTTAGCATGAATGGACAAAAAAAAAGGCCCAAAACGACTGGTTCCATTGACTTACATTAAAAGTACAGTATGTTTTTTCCTTCTCCTGTAAAGTTACCATTTTGGAGATACAAGGTTTTCTTCAGACAACAGCGATATGTTGACATACAGCTAAAATATATGTCCCATATTTGAAACTGGCAAATTTCACATAAGGTGGCATAGATAACACCTTATGATAACAAGTTGTGTATAAGGGAAATCCATATATGCTAATATATATCATATATTAGAAATCACTGCCCTGTGATGGGCTGGTGGCCTGTCCAGGGTTTCCTGCCTTTCACCCAATAACCGCTGGAATAGGCTCCAGCACCCCGTGACCCAGAAGGATAAGCAGTTTAGATAATGTGTGTGTGTGCATTTAAAATCAATATATTGCTATATCTGTATGGGCTAGTGGCAATGCATCTTGACTTCTGTCACCCATTCACTGGACCCCTTTGTATTCAGTGTTTCAGTGTATTGAGTGGTTTAGGAACCACTCTAACATGATTTTTTTTTTTTATTCAAATGAAGATGCCAGTAAAAATGCAAATCAGGCTTTCAAAAGTAAGTGAAGATATGCTGGATACTGCTCGTATTACGCTCTTAAATCAGTAGAGCATAGCCTCTGTTTTTGTGTTAAGATCAGTGTTGGACAGAATACTTTAAAAAATAGTATTGGCTGAATATTGAATACACTGTCCTTCATGTATTCGGTAACATATTCCATTACAATACATGAAGAAGTAACATACTCAGAATACATTTAGAATATAATAATAATACATATTGATAAGGCACAAGGAAAAGCCTTCATCCCTGCTGAAAAAAACTTAGAAATCTATTAAGTTTCTGCTGGTTCCTGGTGGTGTCCGTATTGATATTCTGTGTTTTCCTGATCGGTTGATATGACAGTGTAAAGGATTCTAATAGTTTAACAGGTGTGCTGAGACTGATTCAAGACGCACTGATTTATCAGTCTACTCAGGCTTTAGCAGAGCTCAGTAACACTGAGATTAATAACTGTTCATCACATTGATTTATTAGTCTACTCAGGCTTTAGCAGAGCTCAGTAGCACTGAGATTAATAACTGTTCATCACATTGATTTATCAGTCTGCTCAGGCTTTAGCAGAGCTCAGTAGCACTGAGATTAATAACTGTTCATCACATTGATTTATCAGTCTACTCAGGCTTTAGCAGAGCTCAGTAACTGGTGGGTGGTACCTGTAGCCTGCTAACTAAGCTAGCATTAACTTAGCCCAGCACATTACAGATCCAAACACCACAGGACAGTTTTGATTTTAGCTTTCTGTCACTCCCAACACCCTTCACTCAACTTTGCTCTCTCCGACATGAGTTTTATCATGTATACTTGTACCAGCAGAGCACCACTTAAGATAGTCAGTCAAGCTTGTACTGAGGTACATGGCACTGGAGAGAGAAGCTAGCATTAGCCCAACTAGGAGGCTACAGCCTCGGAACAGGTTTAACTTGACTTTACTTCCTCTGACTTGAGGCATTATCATTTAAACTTGCCGCAGTGAAGCTGTTAGCATGCTGAACTAATGCTAACGGGCTCCTCTCCTAGTTTGCAGCACCGTTTAACATTTAGCAGTTACTGTTAGATTAATGTTTTGACATTTTATTGAATGGTGGACTAAAAATTGTGCACTGCTTTAGTTTCTGTGGCAACCGTGTAAGCCAACTGAGCTTATTTGATTGTTTTCTGTATTGAAATAACGCAGGATGAGGTGGTACATAAATGTAGAACCAACAAGCGAATAGCTATGTCATTAGCTCACGTCACTCAACAGTTCTGTAGTCCTGATCTTCACTAGAAAGATAGCTAATCGGGAACTTTGGCCACTTTAGGCAATTATTTACATTTATATTTATGTAATCGGCAGCTAAAAGTCCATGATCCTGACAGGCCTAGTTGTGACAGGTTCTGCTAAGCCATATGAGGTAAAAGGCCCATCCATAAAGCTTTCAGAGTGCTAAAAATTATAGCATGAAGGGACACGCTGAAGCACTTTTTCAGGATTTGATGGAAAAGTTTTTCTTTTGAGAGCACACATACACAGGCATGCACACACAGACAACTACTTTCAATTAAGAAACTTCTCTTTCATGAGTTGGAGTGTTGCCTAGGTTTCAGCTCAGCCAGTCTTAGTGAGTGACCGGAGTGAAAGCCATTCTAGCCGCATGTGGTTGAGCATCCCACTGTTCCAGCTGCACTGCTCTCTCCTGTCAAAGCCCCCCGAGCACTTCCTTGCTAACAAGCAACACACACCGCCTCAACTCAAGCTCTCTTGTCTGCCTCTAATGTACTGAATGAAAAATGCTGTTTTTACTTCTCATTGCATTGCTGTAGAGATGACTCAGTCGACCTTCTTTTCAGTTTGAAGAGACAACTGTTTGGCAGGGTGCTGCCGATAAAGCTTTGTTGTTCTGAACGCGGAGTTTTCCAATATGGCGCTCTCTCTTTTTTCAGGAGATAGTCCCCGCACTTCAGTCCTGTTTTTAACATGCCCTTGCCAGCTTTGCCTTATGAAATAGAAGTGTGAAGCACCTAAACTGCGCAATTATTCACGTAAACTTTGTTCATAGTTATCTTGTCTGACCAAGCTGCACTATGTAAGCTTCTTCGTCAAAATTGAAAGAAGCGGCTTTACGAAGTCAAGAGGGGAAACATTTCGGGTCAGATTTCACAGGAGTTTTCCGGACTGCATCATACGTCTTTATGTATTAGTCACATGGACAGGCTCAGAAAGAAGGTCCACTTTGGTATTTACGTCTCAAATGCAAAATCATCATTATAGTAATGAAGATACGATTACACTAATTCACTTACATTCTCAGAAGACGTGTCCTTCACCAAGTTTAGACTAAGTTCTCTTTGAATACTCTTTCAACACATTCTCAATCATCAGGTTCATCCTCACGGGGGAGGGGTCCAAAGCACAACTGATGTTACAAAATGTTTGTTCGCATTTTGCTTGCCATTACACGTTTCCACCAGAGAGGTGCCCGAAACTTACACAGCGTAGCTTTAAATTTCCGGTTTAAGATAAGAACTGTGGTGCATTGGCTTTTTTTTGTTGTTGCTAGTCACTTAGTATGCAGAGTAAAGAAGCATCAGCAGTTACGTATAACTGATAGAACAGTGTGCTAGCTTGCTAGATTTGGGATATATGTCCATATATGTCACTAAAAACAAATGGACAGTGTCCTCAGAGGTCTATTCAACCTAAGCTCCGAGGGCGCTGTCCATTTGTTTTTGGTGACATATATGGACGTATATCCCAAATATGGAACTCTGGGGTCTACACCGGTTATAGGAAAAAAGCGAATGGCATTCATGAAAATTGCTGACGTGGAGACATTTGTAGGAAAAATGTACACAGGATAAAAAATGTATTTACCACATAGCACAATAGTGGCAATTTTTGAAAAATAGCTTTGTTTTTTCCTATGGAGAAGACTGCCTTAGAGCCGGAGATCTTTATTTGGGCACTGGCAGATTTTTCAATATGAGTGCGCTTAGAGAAATAGCTAGCTAAGCAAAGCTTGTGTTATATTATTGTGTGTTATATTGTTGTGTTATGTTAGATTTAATATTTTTTGAGACGTCCAAGTGTAACATACATATATATAAATATATATACTTGCTTTGTCTGTCTTAAGCTTCAGGTTTAGAACGAGAAATGTGATGCATTGGGTTTCCTTTGTGCTAGCGGTGTAACTCTTAGCTTGCTAGCTAAGAGT